TGGCATGTGGTGCTGGAGGATCGAACCGCGGTCCCTGTGCTTTGCCAAGCTTGTTCCAAGTAGGTGCTTTAGACCACTGAGCCATCTCTCCAGCCCCCCCTTAAATTATATTTAATAAAATTGAAAATCATGAATCCCAGCTTCTTTGGAGGCTCAGGCAGGAAGATTACAAGTTTGAAGCCCATCTGGACAATTTAGCAAGACCCTATCTCAAAATAAAAAGGGCTTGTGGTATAGCTCACTGGTAGAGCATCCCTAGGTTCAACTGCCAGTACTGAGCAGGGGGAAAAAAGAGAAAAAAGGAAAAAGGAGGAAACTCATTCTACAAGACCAGCATTAAACTGATATCAAAACCAGACAAAAACACAACCAAAAGAAAAGTATAGACCACTACCTCATCTCAAAAGATTTTTAAAAAGGGTGGGAAAGTAGCTCAGTGGAAAGCCACCATGGATTTAATCCCTAGTACTATACAAAAAAGCAAAAAACAGAATTAGCATATAGAGACTGGGCATGGTAGTGCACACCTGTAATCCCAGCAGTTGGGAGGCTGAAAACAGGAGAATCACTATGAGTCCGATCTACGTAGTGAGACCCTATAGACCCTGGACTAAATTTAAAAAATAAAATAAAAAAAAAGAATTAGTATACTAAATGCAGTAGAATATTAGATTTTTTAAATTTAATTTTATTTTTTTTCCTGGCTCGGGCTACCTTAAGGGCGGGTCTGGTAAGGCAGGTGCAGGTGGGGATCGAACCACAGTATCCTGCACCTGAATGCATTTGCATGAGCAGGCGCTTAAACAACTGAGCTAACCGGCAGGCCCCCAACAGCATATCAGAAAGATTATTCACCACGATCAAACTGGGGTTCATCCCATAAATGTGAGGATGGCTCAATGTAGGCAAACTGATCAACATAATGTAACACATCAACAGAATGAAAGACAAAATGATAGGATACAGAAAGGGCACCTGGTAAAATTCAACATTCCTTTAGATAAAAACTCTTAACTAGCTGGATATACTGGCACATGTCTATAATCCCAGCATTGAAGAATGTCCCAGGCAGGAGGATCAAACCCAGATCCAGGCCAGCCTAAGCAACATACTGAATTCAAGGTCAACCTGAACTACTTAGTGAGACCCTATCCCAAACAAACTAGACAAATTAAGCATAGAAGGAACATCTGAACATAATAAAGGCAATATTTAATAAGCCAACAGCTAACAACATTGACTAGGGAAAAGCTGAAGGCTTTTCCTCCAAGGTCTAGACTAAAAGTGTCTATTCTTATGTTAGAAGTCACAGCCAAAAGAACCAGGCAAGAGGGGCTGGGGAAATGGCTCAGTAGAATAAGCACTTGCCTGGCAAGTGAGTTCAATCCCCAGTTCTGGAAAAAAAAAAAAAAAAGAACCAGGCAAGAGAAGGAAATGAAAAGCACCTAAACTGTAAAAAGAGAAAGTCAAATTGTCACTGCAAGTGACATGACCTTACATACAGAAAATCCCAAAGACTGCCAAAATAAAATCACTAGAAATAAATTCATCAAACTTGCAAGATCTAAAAAAAAAAAAAAAACATTGCCAGCCAGCCCCGCCCCCTAGTGGGCTGAGCTGCCCCCCCCCAAATAAATAAATAAATGTAAAAAAAAAAAATCAGTATCTTAGGGGCCAGCCTGATAGCTCAGCGGACTAAAGCACCTGCTTAGGCAGAGCACAGTGACCAGGGTTCGATCTCCAGGGTGCTGTGCCAGCCCTGCCCACGGGGCACACTGAAACGGTAACTGAGACTGGGCATGGTGGTACCCGCCACTTGGGAGGCTGAAAACAGGAGAATCACTGAGTCCGATGTATGTAGTGAGACCCTGTAGACCTTGTCCTAAATACAGAAAAAAAAAATCAGTATCTTTTTATACATTGTGAATTATCTAAACTAGAAATCAAGAAAGAAATTTCATTTACAACAGATATTAATACAAAACCTATGAACAAATTTAAGCAAAGAGGTAATGTAAACTATAAAATACTAATGAAAGAAATGAAGCAGAAGCAATTCCATCCTCCCAGAGACACACACCATGTTCATGGACTGGACTGGAAGAAATCAATGCTGTTAAAAGTTCCATATGACCCAAAGTGATATACAGTTGCAATACAAACACTATCAAAATAATGACATCTTTCATAGATCTTTAAAAAAAAAAAAAAGGTAGGAGGGGCATAGGTGTGCAGCTCCTGCTGGCCTGGAAAATGGCTGATCCCTTTCTGAAGGGGCTTTAGTGGACCACACTGCCTGGCTGGGAAGGACCTTTCCTGACTGTAGCCTTAGTTGGGCTTAGCAGGATCAGTGTCAGAGTTTGCTGTAAACAATAAAGGAAATTGATGATGTCTATGGAAAATATAAGAAAGATGATTTAAACTAGAAAAAAAGCCTATAGCAGCATCTCCAGAGAGCACTGATAAACAGCCAAGAACTGGGAGATGAAAAAATTCAGATTGTCACACAAATGCTCGAATTGGTAGATAATCGAGCAAAACAAACAGAGTTGCATTCAGTGTCCCCAAGATCCTGCTGAAAGTAAGCGAACATCAGACAAGGCAAAAATGGATTCTACCCAAACAAAGACCTTCAAGACCCTACCAACAGAGAACTAGTGAAAGCACTGATTTATGTCACATGACAAACGGGATTGAAAACTGCGATGATCAGCTACAAATCTAAGTCAGCCAAGAAAAAGAACCCCTCTAAGGCCAAGCAAGAGAAGCTTCACCTGTTGTTTACAATAGATCCCAATGAACCTACGTACAGTTTATGTCACCAAGTGTCTTACGGGGGAAATGACAGGATATGACAATCAACAGTGTACAATGGAATGCTTTTATTTTTCATGTGTGTCACTTACATAAAAACCAAAGGGGAAAAGGTACTGCCCAAAGTGCAGGGGATAATGAGAAAACAATGGACAAAAGTACTAAAAAGACAAAGCGAGACTGAGGTAGTAAAAGCCATCCATATTTTAAGGGTTGTCTTTTACATAATTCTTTTACTTTCAGAAAATATTTTATAGGCCAGGGAGATGGCTCAGAGGAATAAGCACTTCCCTGACAAACTCAAGGGCCTGAGTTCAATCCCCAATTCCGCCACAAAAAAAAAAGAAGAAAAAGAAAATGTTTTATGATAAATGTGTAACACTATGCAATAATTTCTAATCATTACTATTAATGGTGTATTTGAAGTTGTTCTTTGTCAAGAGCTTGGGATACAGCTCAACAGCATAAGCACCTGCCTAGAAAGTGCAAGGTCCTAAATTCAATCCCAGGTGTTGCAAAAATAAATAAAATAAAATAAAATAAAATAAAAGTTGATCTTTGTCAAAAAAAATATTCAGGGGCTGGGGAGATGGTTCAGTGGAATAAGCACTTGCCTGGCAAGCTCAAGGGCCTGAGTTCAATCCCCAGTTCCACGAGAAAAAAAAAAAAAAATCAAACTCACATAGACTCATTCAAAAATCAAAAAACAGGGCCGGGGAGATGGCTCAGTGGAATAAGCACTTCCCTCGCAAGTGCAAGGGCCTGAGTTCAATCCCCAGTTCCGCCAAAAAATAAAATAAAATAAAAAAAGCTCATTAGCCAAAATCATTTTGAGCAAAAACAACAAAGCATGAGTCATAACAGTACTACAAAGCTGTAGTGATCAAAACAGTATTGTCTTCTGACTAATCTGGGGACCTGAGGTAAAAGGATAGCCAGTTGGAAGCCAGCTTCCAGCCTGAGTTAGTCAATTCAAGGCTGGCTTGGATTACACAATGAAATCCTATATCAAAACAAATAGGGGCCGGAGAGATTGTTCAGTGGAATAAGCACTTCACTGGCAAGCGCAAGGGTCTGAGTTCAATCCCCGGTTCCGCGAAAAAATAAATAAATAAATAACCCCTCCGGCCCAAAAAACAACAGTGGAATTAAATAAATCTTTCCAATAAGATGGTAAAATACTGACAGGAAAATTGGAGATCTACATGCAGAATGAAACTAGCCCCCCTGCCACCAGTTCTCATCTGTTACAAAATCAATTCAAAATGGAGAGTTGACTACAAAACTACTAGAAGTGTTAACAGAATTCAAAAGAGGCAGAGAGACCACAGGATCAGTTTGGTGTTTTTTTTTAGTAGAACCGGGGTTTTGAACTCAGGTCCTTGTGCTTGCCAGGCAAGCGCTTATTCTACCGAGCCATTTCCCTGGCCCCTGGATCAGTTTTTTGAGATGTACACTTCGCTCAGTGGATTTCTGTCCAACACAGCTGAGCACTGAACAAAGGAGAAGCTCCTATTTTCATTCACTTGCTAAGAAGGCTGGTCTTTCGCAGGGTGTTGGGGACAAACTGGAATTTGTGGACAGGCAAGGAGAACAAAGGCAGTTTGTCAAGATGTGACAGTTTTGTATCTTGTTGGCCCTGCTCAAACATTAACAACAAACAAGATGCTATGGGAAAAAGAGGTTGTAAAACTACTTACAGTGACAGAAGTTACTGTTTTTATTTGTTTTAGAACAAAGATGTAGGGAGGGGGAAATTGGGAAACTCAACTTTTTAAGTCCTGCTTCAGAACAACAGAGTGGAAATGCTTGAATGAGCAAGCATTTTTTAGAAAAGATTCCAAAAATACAGGAAACAGTAAAAATAGGTGAATTGGGGCCGGGGAGATGGCTCAGTGGAATAAGTGCTTCCCTGGCAAGTGCAAGGGCCTGAGTTCAATCGCCGGTTCTGCCAAAAAACAAAACAAAACAAAACAAAACAAAACAAAAAAAAAAGGTGAATGGAGTTACAGCAAATGAAAAAAATAAAAAAACTGCTCAACAAAATAAACTGAGGCTGGGCATAATGACACAAAGCACTCAAAAGGCTGAGGAAGGAGGATCACTGACTCATGAATGCCAGGCCAACCTGGACTACACAGTGAATTCAAGGACCAGAACTACATAGCAGAGACCCTGTCTCAAAAAACAAAGAAGCAACAGAATAAAAAGACAATCTTAGGGCTGGGGAGATAGATCAGTAGATTAAGTGCTTGCCTGGTAAGCGCAAGGGCCTGATTTCAATCCCCAGGTCTGAAAAAAAAAGTAAAAAAAAAAAAAAAAAAAAAAAAAGACAATCTGGGGACCAGGAATAGAGCTCTGCAGCACCAGTGCCTGCCTGGCAAGTGTAAGGCCCTGCATTCAATTTCCTGAACAAACAAACAAAAAAAAAAAGACAATCTATAGAAGGGAGAAAATAAGCCAGGCATGGTGGCACACAGCTATAATCCCAGCATTCTGGGACAGTGAGACAAAAAGATTACAAATTCAAGTCCAACCTGAGTAATTTAGCAAGATCTTATCTCAACGTAAGAAATAAAGAGGCTGATGATGAAGCTCTGTGCAAAGTCCCTGGATTTGACACCCACAAACAAAAACAAACAAAAAAATTAAAAGCAGAACAATCGTTATATGAGTAGACCACTGAGTAGCCTTATTACCTTGCCAACTCAGCATCTCAAGGAACTGGTCAGCGACTTCTTGTGGGAAAGTCCAATGTTCTGGAAGGCACAGGGTTCCATCAGGTCTCTCAGGACACAACTTCTCAAGATTAGCAATCAGGACATTCAGGCAAGAACTGACCAAAGCATACGGTGAGGCCTCTTCCTAAAAAACAAACCTCAAACTTCATTGGACTAAACATAAAAGAGGTCAGGCCATACATGGATCTTCCTATTCTAATAATGACTTACGTATAATGAATCCACCTTATCCCAACCATTAACTAAAGGAACACTTTATCAGTTTTACCTTGGAAAAAAATTTTCCATCCTTTACTTACCATCTAGTCTGTGCCAACCACCAACCATTGAGGAATGGGTGAAACAGAACTCTCTCCCTTGTAGAGCTAACAGCTCAGTGGAAGATCAAACCAATAAATCTCACAATTTCAACCCATTTGGGACATCTTAAACAGAGGTCACATGGGCATTCACTGAAGATATATCTATTCAGCTACTATTCTGTTGCAGGGGGTAAGAAGGAAATACACTCAAGGGTGCTCTAGAAGAGTAACAGGGAGGAGAAACAAAGACATGTGCCTCCTTTCTCATGTAAGACAGAGCAGCACTCACTCACTCACTCACCAGGCACAGCACTGTCCTGGGGAAGAGGGAATGAGACACCATCAGTCTGCCTCCTTTCTCAGAGGGTTCCACACCAAACACATCACTGACTTTGGAACTCATTAAATTCCCTCCAAAGGGAGGGAATAAAGCAGAGTGAGAAGAGCACTTGCCTGGCATGCACAAGGCCCTTCATTCCATCCCAAGTACCACAAAAAAATCTTTTTAATCCTGATCTGCAGCACTGCTGCAGCTCAGCTAGTATCAATCCTGTTATCAATGAAGGAAAAAAAAAATAGGCAGCAGATGTGGGTCACTGGAGTGCTACCCTACCATTCTTGATGCCCTGGTGTCAAATCCCAGAGCTGCAAAACATAACCCAACCAAACCAAAGAAATTCTAACTCTCTCTCTCTCAGTTCCCATGACCCCTTCAATTATTCCTTTTCATACCCAAACTTCTCCAACAAATTTTTTTTTTGGGGGGCGGGGGAGAACCGGGGATTGAACTCAGGTCCTCGTGCTTGCCAGAGAAGCGCTTATTCCACTGAGCCATCTCCCTGGCTCCTCTCCAACAAATTTATTCTGCATGTTGTAATCATTTTCCTTTTTGCTGTGATTTGAGGAAGTCCCTCAAAGCTGATGTATTGCAAACTTTAATCTCCAATGCTGTGACAGAGGTCTTTAAGAGCTATTTAGAGGGCTCAAGGGCTCTGGTCTTGGGAATGGATTAATAACATTTTGAAAGTTTGTTACTATGAAAGGGTAAGAGTTCTGCTTCTACTCTTTTGGTGCATTCTGAAACAGGCTTCACTACATAATCCAGACTGGCCTCAAAATCAGTGTCTGCCTGCCTCAGCCTCCCAAATCCTGGGATTAGAGATGTGTGCCATCACACCCTACCTGAGTTCAGTTCTCCAGCATACAGACAACACAGGATGATTCTGCCACAAAGCCCTGGACAAACCCAGGCCTCTTGGAAGTTGGCCTTCCTAGCTTTCAGTTCTATCAGGCATGGATCATTCTTTTCAGGCTACACTCCAAGCACTTATCCCAAGTTGTTTTTTTTATTTTTTATTTTATTTATTTATTTATTTATGTGGGGGGGGAGCTCAGCCCACCAGGGGGCGGGGCTGGCATGTGGTGCTGGGGGATGGAACCGCAGTCCCTGTGCTTTGCTTAGCTTGTTCTAAGTGGGTGCTTTAGACCACTGAGCCATCTCACCAGCCCCTATTATCCCAAGTTTGAGGCAAGCCTGAACTACATAGGGAGAACCTGCCTGAATTATCTAATTAACACCTCAGATAGTATTATGGCAGTATCATACATGGATTCTTTTTTTTTTTTTTTTTTTTTTGCGGAACTGGGGATTGAACTCAGATCCTTGCGTTTGCCGGTCAAGCGCTTATCCTACTGAGCCATCTCCCCGGCCCCAATACATGGATTCAGATACATGTTTTGTTTGTTTTAGGTGCTAGAGATTGAAGCCAAAACTTCCTGTGCTCTCTCAAGAAGCTATACACTAGTATCTTACTCCTTTTGTTTGAATTAAGGCAAAATTTATAAGCCTTCTAAAATAGTGTTTTATAATGCAGCTTTTTTCACCTCTCTTTTGGTAGTACTGAGAATTAAACCCCAGTCTTTACAATGACCTATATCTTCACTCCTTTTTATTTTGAAACAAGATCTCACCTAGTTGGCCAGGCTGGGCTCCATCTTGCAATCCTCCTGCCTCAGCCTAAGTCCCTCAGATTGTAAATTCAAACCCAGTCTGGATAATTAGGAGACTTAGCAAGACCTTATCTCAAAATTAAAAATTAAAGGGGTTGGAGATGTACCTCAGTGGTAGAGCTACCCTAGGTTCAAACTCTATTACTACAAAAACAAAATACCGCTGATTTATCAGTAGCACATGGCTAGAATCTCTGCATTTGATAGGTTGAGACAGAAGTATCTTGAAAAAAATCCTGAATTCAAGGCCAGCTTAGTCTACATAGCAAGATCTTGTCTAAAACACCTAAATAAATAATAGGCTGAATAATCTCAGCTAGTCAGGAGGATGAGGCAGTTGCATACACTTGTAATCCCAGTGCTAGGGAGGCTGAGACAGGATTACTAATAGTCCAAGCTGCACAGCAAGACCCTGTACCAAATAAATAAAAAGATTTAAAAATAAATAATAAATTTAAAATATTTTTTCTGAATTTTGGTGCCCAAAATTTTTTGATCAATTTTATATGACCCGGGGGCCGGGGAGATGGCTCAGTACAATAAGCACATACCTGGCAAGTACAAGGGCCTGAGTTCAATCCCTGGTTCCGCAAAAAAAAAAAAAATTATGTGACCCATCATTCTTAACTGCCAGCCATTTTGTGGCCACCCATCTCCTCAATCTGCATTAAACTACTGATTCAATAGAAACTTTGGGAAGCCCAGCCTGCACTCGATTGTGGCTTCTGTGAAGAACTCATGGTCTCAAATCACTGACAATACAATGTACTAGGAGCTACATGGACAAGTACTCACTTAAGGAGCACTCTGTTGCTAGATACAAGATTAGGACCACTGTTTGTTGTTTTTTTTTTTTTTTTTTGGTTTTTGTGGTAGTATCGCCATGCAGCTCAAGACTTACAGTGATGCTCCTGTCTCAGCCTTCTCAGTGCTGGGATTACAGGTATGCATGGCCACCATGCCTGGGGTTCTGGGGCAGCACGGCATGTGGTACTGGCAATAGAACCCAGGTCCTTTGCACTTGCCAAGCAGGCACTTAAGATCACTAAGCTGTCACCCCAGCCCCTAGGTTCTGCAGGAAATGGAGTCATATGAAATTCAGGTTTTAGCCTCAGTATCATAGAAAGGGAAAAGAGAAGAGAACCATTGGGCAAAAATAAGTATATAAAGAATACACTTCTCAATAAGCCATGCATGGGTTAAGACTGCAAGATGGGAGGGCTGGTGAGTAACTCAATAGACTAAGCACCTGCTTTGGCAAGCACAGGGACTGGAGTTTGACCCCTGGTACCACATGCCGTGCCGGCTCCACCACCGGATGCACTGAGTCAGCCACCAAGTATGGCCGTGGTGGGGCACACCTGTAATCCCAGTACTGGGGAGGCTGAAAACAGGAGTATCACTACAAGTCTGAGCTGCATAGTGAAACCCCATACCAAATACATTAAAAAAAAAAAAAAAAAAAAAAAAAGATTGCAGATGTGTGGTTCAGTAGTACAGCACTTGTCTGCCTAACCCAAGAAGAAAATATTTTGAACATATCACTGTTACAGAAAATGCACAATGCAAATGTTTATCTTATAAAATAGAAAGGTATAAAAATTATCCTTAAAGTGATAAAAACAAATACCAAATATATAGGTGATTATAAAGACATGAACAGGGGGCCGGGGAGATGGCTCATTGAAATAAGTGCTTCCCTGGCAAGCACAAGGGCTTGAGTTCAATCCCTGGTTCTGCCAAGATAAAAAAAAGACATGAACAGAAACCATGCACAACATTTATGATGAAAAATGTCCTTTCTTTGAAAGATGTAACTTAGCCAGGCATCAAGGTACCCAACTGTAATCCAAGAATTCTGGGAAGCTCAATCAGGGGGATCTCAAGTCAGAGCCCAGCCTAGGTAACTTAGCAAGACTCTCAAAACAAAAATGGACTGGGAATGTAACGTAGTGGGAAAAGTGCTTTGGCTTCAATCCTCAGTAAGGAAAAAAATCAATTTTATTTTGTTGGGTTTTTTGTTTGTTTTTGCGGAACCTGGGATTGAACTCAGACCATTGCACTTGCCAGGGAAGTGCTTATTCCACTGAGCCATCTCCCTGGCCCTTAAAAAATCAATTTTAATGCTATTATCATAGCAATGCAAGGACAAGTAAGATGATCAAGAGAGAGGGAGGAGAAAAACACAAAATTACTAATATTGGAAACAAATGAAGAACAGCATTACAGAATGATGCACCACGGGGCTGGGAGATGACTCAGTAGAATAAGCACCTGCCTGGCAAGAGCAAGGGCCTGAGTTCAATCCCCAGTTCCGCCAAAAAAAAAAAAAAAGACTTAAAACGTAAACCAGAATCATCTCTATACAACTTCATGATGGGCTATTTTATCATTGGTACTGCCTAAGGGAATATATGCCCTCTTTTTAAAACAAGCCAGTCCCAAATTCCTGATTATGCTTTTCTAGTTTGTTTGTTTAGGGTTTTTTTGCAGAACCGGATATTGAACTCAGGCCCTAGTGCTTGCCAGGGAAGTGCTTATTCCACTGAGCTATCTCCCTGGCCCGCTTTTCTAGTTTTGCAGTCCCAAGAGCATGTGTTGATAGATGAGCTTGTTTTTTGCATGAGCTTGCTTTTTACTCTATAGAATTCATCAAGTTCCACCTTTGTGACTGACCAGGGATAGGATGTATCTTTTTTTTTTTTTTTTTTTTGCAGAACCGGCGATTGAACTCAGTCCCTTGTGCTTGTCAGGGAAGCACTTATTCTACTGAGCCATCTCACCAGCCCCAGGGATAGGATGTATCTTACAGGCAGCCTGAATCAGCGCTCAAATTTTGGAACAGGTGGCTTTTGCTGCCTTTCCAGACACAAGACTGTTAAACCAATTACTATTTTATCCTTGTGCCTCAGCCTCTTGTGTACTGGATTACAGCATGAGCTACCACACCTGGTTGAAAATAATTTTTTTCAAGCAGTTAGTGTAATATGCTTAAACGGTATCTATTTGACTGTACAATTGATAAAGTCTGTCACTCTGCAGAAAAAGAAATATAGACAACTATCATAGCCACCAGTGGTCTCAACAGAAACAAGTTCTCCAGGTAAAAAGATCAAGATGTGACATGTACATTCCGCACAACCAATGTATTTATCATATATTGAAAATGTAAACTAATAAAAAAAGAAAGGGGCTGGTGAGATGGCTCAGTGGACTAAAGCACCTACTTAGAACAAGCTTAGCAAAGCACAGGGACCGCAGTTCAATCCCCCAGCACCACATGCCAGCCAGCCCCACCCCCTGGTGGGCTGAGCTGGCCACACACACACACACACACACACACATAAATAAATAAATAAATTAATTTTTTTTAAAAAAGAAAAACATGAGGGCCAGGGATATAGCTCATTGGCACAAGCACCTGTCTGGCAAGCCGAAGATTCTGAGTTCAATTTCTGATACCAAAAGAAAAAAAAAATTTCTTTTTTAAAAAGTATTTAGGACACAGTCTACAGGATCTCACTACGAGATTAGACTCATAGTCATTCTCCTGTTTTAGCCTCCCAAGCTCTGAGATTATAGGTGTGCACCACTGTGTCCAGTCTCAATCACTACCTCAGTAGCAGGGTGGGTGCGGCACATCGGGGATGGAACCCCAGCCCCTGTGTTCTGTCTAAGCAGGCACTTTAGTCCAATGAAAAAAAATTTTAAACGAAAAGCATTTATGAACATTTTTTTTTAAATTGCTTCTCTTGGACCAGTGAGATAGCTCAGCAGACTAAGGCACCTGCTTAGGCAAGCTTGGACAAAATCATGGAATGTGGTTAGTCATTGCGCCAGATTCACCCCCAAGGCGGGCTGAGCCACCACACACACAAAAAAAGTACCAAAGTAAATAAGCAGGTGTGCCCACCAATGTTCTCCCTTTAAAAATGTGATTCGTATAGTAGGTAACCCTGAATGTACCTATATCCAAGGAAGCAATGGCACTTTGGTCCTGTGTCCTAGGAAGCTTTCTACAGTTAACATTAATTCTAGGAAAAAACTACATATTATTTTTAGAAGTAAACATCAAAATCCTCCAGTTTGGATAAAGGATAACATTGAAAACTTCAATAAAATTTATAAACAAAACTCAATGAAGGGTGGAGGGGTGCACGCCAGCACTCTGCTGAGGCAGAAGGATCAGTTCAAAACCAGCCTGTGCTACAAAGTGAGTTCAAGGACAGCCTGAACTGCATAGCAAAACCCTGTCTCAAGAAAAAAAAAAAAAAAAAGAAAAAGAAAGAAAGAAAAAGGAAAGCAAAGGAAAAGAAAGTAAAGGAGTTGCAGACCAACTTAAAAATAAAAAATTTCTAAGTATGGTGCATGCCTATAATCCTCTTCGCTGAAGGCTGAAATGAGACAATGACAAGGCCCTGTCTCAAAAACAAAAATAAAGACAAAAAAAAAAAAAAAAAACTGCTGGAGATGTAGCCCAGTGGTACATTACTAGATTCAATCATCAATGCCACAGCCACAAAAAAGAAAAAGACAATTAGTAAACAGAATCCTGTGCTATACAACAATACATGACATATGACGGCAAAATGGGGTCTATTCCTGGAATATAAAATTAAATTCACAATTAATGTAATTCAAAATCAAAGTATCATCTTTATTATTCTTTATTATAAATAATTGCCAGGGAGATGGCTCAGTAGAATAAGCGCTTCCCTGGCAGGCGAAAGTGCCCGAGTTCAATCCCCTGTTCCGCACCCCCCCAAAAAAAAAAAAGAAAAAAGAGCATTTGAAAACATTTAATAATGTCTGTTCATGATTTTGAACTCTTAGCAAACCAGGAGTAGAATAAAACTTCCTGGGGCCAGGGAGATGGCTCAGTAGAATAAGCACTTGCCTGGTAAGTGCAAGGGCCTGAGCTCAATTCCCAGTTCCACCAAAAAAAAAAAAAGTAAATTTTAATAAGTACACAAGTACAGACTGGAGCCTAGCATGGTGGCAGCTGCCTGTATTCCCAAGTAGCCCGAGGCAGGAGCTGGGGCTGAGGCAGGAGGATTGCTGCTAGTTCAAGGCCAGCCTAAACTGCACAGTGGAACTCTATCTCAAAAAGACAAAAGGTTAAAAAGAACTGCTTTACTTGCAGATGACATGACTATAGAAAACTGAACACTGACAAAAAGTAGAGAAAATAAGAAAACTTTAGCAAGCCTGGTGGATATAAAGTCAAAACACAAAAGTCAATTTTATGTATTTCTACTTAAAACAGCAGTTTGTTTTAACCTTAAAACATATTTCCAGACTGAGAGTGGAGTGAAGGGGTAGCTGAGTTCAGAATACTCTCTTCCCTCTCTATTAATTTTGGATCAATCTAAACTCGACTTTTTTCTTTTTTTTCGGAACCAGAGATTGAACTCAGGCCCTTCCGCAAGCACTTATTCTACTGAGCCATCTTCCCAGCCCCTCGATTTTTTTTTTTTTTCCAGAACCGGGAATTGAACTCAGGCGTTTGCGTTTGCCAGGGAAGCGCTTATTCCACTGAGCCATCTCCCAGGCCCCTCGATTTTTTTTTTTTTTTTTTTTTTTTTTTTAAGACAGGGTTTCACTATGCAGTTCAGGCTGGCCCCGAACTCATATCCTCCAGCTTCATCCTCTCATGTGCTGGGATTACAGGCAGCGACACCACGCCCCCATCCAACACACACACACACACACACGGTATCGCGGAGAACACACTGGCCTTGTGCTCACTATGCAGGCCAGGCTGGCCTCGAACTCGCAGTGATCCTCCTGGCTCAGTCTCCCCCAGTGCTGGGGTTACAGACCTACGCCACTAAGCCGGATTTCTTAAATGGTTCCTGAGGACAGCTGACCAGAGTCCTGCCTCAGAACCTGGGGGGTCCAGATTCAATGAACTCATCTTCAAGGCTTCCATCTCCTGCGTCAGTAAGGCAAGCCGCGCAAGGCCGCAGAGGACCGGGGACACCGCCGCCCTGGAGACGCGCAGCGCGCATCCCGCGGGCGCCCAGCCTCCGCGCTCCGCAGCCGCGCCCGGGGAGAGGAGGGACCTGCGTGGAGCGGCGCCTCCGCGGCCCGCACCCGGGCCCGCAAGCCACACGGAGGGTTCCAACCGCGGCAATTCGGCACCGCCAGGTTAGCCGGCCGGAGGGAGAGCCCGCGGCGCCCAGC